CGATTGATAAACTTTGAAAGAGTTATATGTAGAAAAATAAAGCCACTCTATTGCGCCAAGATGATATATCTCAGATTGGAAGGTTTAAAAATCAAAGATGCGTTGATTAGTGCGATTCTACGCTCATGTCCAGATATACGTATTCTCATTCTTGATCGAAGTGATGGTTTCTCTAACATACCAATTATAGAAATTGCAAGATATTGCCCAAAGCTATTACATCTGAGTCTTAATTCACGTATATGTCTCACTAATCGATGTATCACTGAAATTGCTCACTCATGCCCAAAACTTAGACATCTTGAGCTTGGTAATTGTTCGATTGGTAATGAAACTATCGAGGAAATAGCCCGCAACTGTACTAATTTGAAATATCTTAGTTTGAAGGGATGTAGAAGGATTAGTAATGAAGTGGTAAAAAAACTTAATTCAAAAATTAAAATCAAACATCCAGATTATTCAGATGATTTACATACTTCAATTCCCACCAGCATAATAATTGGAAACAGATTTTATTTCATCATTCAGTAATTATGTTTGTGATAATTTTCCTTACTTTACTTTTAATTCTAGACATGGGCACTGATTAACGCTAGCCGATTTTTTGACGAAAACCTCATGTAGTTGTTGAGGAGAGACATTTGGAAATAATGGTAGTCCCTCACCAGTAAACCAAAATTTCTTTACCCCTATATCAACGAACTTCTGTATTAACACACTTGGAATATCTTCTAAGGGACCATGAAATTCTTCAAACTTTCGGAGGCACACTCTTGCATTTTTATCAGCTTCTTACGCAATTTCTTGATTAGTATAACCAACAATACCAAGTTCTTCCTGAATTGACATTATATCCTCTTCCAAGCATAAAAGCAAATTAAATAATTTCGAAAGTGATAAATCGGAAGAACCTCTATTGTTTTGATTTGTCACATTATTATATTCCACTGCCAGAATGGGGTTGCCATCAATGTCGAGATTCTTCTGTATCGGTATTAAATCTCCCACCAAATGTAATAACAACTTATATGAATCAGCAAGTGTTATCCTGTCGGGTTCGCGTTCTATTTGCTCCAATGCATTACTGATAGCCATGCTAGCTTTCCAGCTAATACCAAGTTTTTCTTGAATTGCTATTATATCTTTCTTCTTATATAAAAGCACCCCATATAAATGAGCAAGTGTTTCGCTTTGATCAGATCTATTATTAGTATTACTTATCATATTTGTTATAATAAAATAATATATTAATTACAGAAAAGCTAAATTACAATCAAATTAAAATCACGTGTGCCGATCACTTTGCTAGGAAAAAAAATGAATGTCTCGCAGGATGTTTCATTTTGATATTTGTGATGGATGAGGAATTACTCAATATCAATATAGACTTTGGGTATTCAATAACTACAAAGTCTAAATAAAATACACAACATGGAGCTAGGTTTAATGG